TAGCAGTAGTAGTAGTAGTAGTAGTAGTAGTAGTAGTAGTAGTAGCAGTAGTAGTAGTAGTAGTAGTAAAGTTGTACTTGCGTATCGGCGTTTTATGACACGCTACGTGGTATCATCCATGGCACAGTCATATTTTTGCAGAGGGAATTAGCGTGTGTCATTATGGGAATCACTTGTTTTTGGCATATCCCTAGGAAAGACAGGGGTTTTACGCCTTGAATTATGATGACGGATGAAGAGACTAACAAATACGATCATGACTACGCAGGACTCGAACACGCACCCTCCTAGGTGCAGACGACGGCTGCCGCAACCGCCTGTGCCACGAGAACCGGCAATTATTATTATTATTATTATTGTTATTATTATTATTATTTCTGTAGTTTTGTGTAATTTTGAATGACCGTAACAAATAATGCAAGAAAGTATGTGATGTCGCATCACTAAATAAAAGTGTTATTATATTATTGAATGATATATTATTAAATCGTTTCTGTTCTGGAGGTGTCAGTATTATCATGTTGAGATATTTCGATTTAACCTTCCCGTCACACTAAGTATGGAAAATATAAATTAATGATTATTAATAATTTGGGGGACGGATTTTGATCACCTAAAACTTCAGTAGACATCACTTTAAAATTACTTGAGAAAAGGAGAGATGTGTCTAATTGGACAATGTGAGGGATGTGGCCTTCCCGAGCCTTAGAATGGATGAAGCGCCTATAACTCAGAAGACTAAAGAATAAAAACATGAGGATATTCTCACAGAGTACCAACTACAATTTTATTGCCTGGCTTTGAAACAGACCAATAAAACAAATAGAAATGTGTATATATTTTGTTGATGGTGATGATCAGCTAAATATTTACTTTTTTAACAAGTTTTGATTACGGGGTGAGAATGAATAACTCATTTCAAGAAAAACTGATAGGATTCGTAAAGAATGTTTTTTTCAGATACTGCTGTAAATACGTTTTTAATCTGAGAAGGTATGCTTAAGGAATACATTGTAACTTGCATATTGTTTAAAACTTACTTTGTGTTTATTTCGTACTCCAAATGTACTATAATTTGAGGTGTAATGAGGAAAATAAAACATCTCTTGTGTAAGATATCCCGTGTTTCACTTGTTTGCTTTTTTCTTTCAGCTTTGAAATCGTTGCAGATAATGATCTTGATGCCCCCTTGGTTGCCAAGTCAGCGAGTGACTGCCATTCAATGCTTCTTCGACATATAAATAATGCTGTTGGGTATGATGTTGTTAACACCAAAGGACGAGGTCCTGAGTTCTTCGGTCTTTCTCATCCTACAATCCAGAATTTAATTCAGAGTTGCCCCGGAACAAGAAAATGTTCATTGTACAAGTGGAGTAAATTTGAGGTGAGTGAACTAACATAGTGCTCTTATAACATTGTCTTCACATTGGCTGTAACGGATCGGTAAAATTACAATAATTATATTGCAAAATTAAAATATATCGTTCTAATACTTCTGCTACCTTGTGAGAAACTCTTATTAAACTGCTTGAAACACGCACACCAAGACCATTTCGAAATATTTTCTAAAATGTCTTCTGGTATACGTACGTATATGCAGAGTATGTACATATTATAGCGAAAGTTATGTAATGCGGCGCGAGAAAACGGCGGATTTCCGGCAAAAAAAAAAAAAAGATTGCGATGTCATGATAACGAAAATCCTGTGGCTAAATTAAGAAAACGAAATCCTCTAACACGTGGTGTAGCCAGAATACCTGTTTTGTGAATCCTTGATACCGAAAAATCAATTGACCGTCCGTCTGGGAACACCACTAGTGCCTAAACCTTATGTAGGATTTTTTTTCCAAATTGAAGAAATCCCTGACAATCTGGCTCGAGTCGAAACTTTGATATTTCGTAAAACATTCTTTAAAGTTTGGAGATACTTTACCTGAAATCCCGGGGCATTTTCAATATTCTCTCAAAAACGTCTTAAATTTTTTTTTCTTAAAATGCTTTGTAAGGATATAGTATAAAGGTGGCGCAGGTCCGATTTTCAGAATTTACTGAATTTTCGAAAATTCAAAAGATTGAATTTTTTGGCGTCTTCCTACTATTACAACATTAGAGATAAGAATTTTTCCGTCAAATTAATTTTGTTCTCCATATTTAGTTCTTTCAATGCGGTGATGTACATTTTTTGGAAATTTTAGTCGTTTTTGCGCAATATTGGGTGCAGTTTAAAAAAAACAATAAAAACAAGATTTTCTCAAATACACCTCATTTTTTCACTAAACTTTTGGTAGGGATAGTGAAAAATGTACTCTGAGATGACATAAACGCTATATTGCTCAATTCTTTTTTTTTTCTCTCTCTCTTTTTCAAAAATTACAAAAGTATAATAATGTTTTTGACTGGATTCTCACGTTGTTGGGTCGTCACGTCTGGTGAAAGATACAAACACTTGAGTGGGAGCCTAGAAGAAAATATGACAAAACGTCTATTTTTTTGAAAATGTTCAAAATAACTTCAAACTTTGTATGTCTTGCCAGTTGTAATAAATAACTGTCAAAGTGTGAACAGAATTAGGAAAATTAATTGCGGATCAAAATATTGCTACTCTGCAATTACACAAACTCTCAGAAATCAATTTTGCTAGTGGTTGTTGTGAAGTGGAGAAAAAATTTGAAAACATTAAAACATTTTGAAAGAATTTACTTTTTGTTGAAGTTCACCAACAGAGCATTACTTCAGCGATGAGAAAGCAAGACATTAAAATTCCAGCATTTGGAATGATAATACTGTATTAGTAAGAAAAACTATAAAATAGTTTAGATGTAGTTTTGAAAATAATTTGTAGCACTATGAAATAAATGCATTCAGAATCGTTTGTGTGTGTGTGTGTGTGGTTTTTATTTTTTTACGTGGGCAGGGGAAAATCTTCTAAAGACACAGCGGGGCCCGCAACCCGCTGCGTGTGGGA